AAAACCCCCCCCTTTCCCCCTTTAAAAGGGCCCAAAAAATTTTTTCCCAAATTTTTTTCCCTTTTTTCCCCCCCCCCCTTTTTTTTTGGGGGGGCCCCCCCGGGGCCCCGGGGGTTTTGGGTTTTTTTTTTTTAAAAAACCAAAAAAAGGGGTTTTTTTTAAAAAAGGGGTTTATTTTTTCCCTTTTAAAACCGGGAAATTTTGGGGGCCCCCGGGGGAAAAAGGGGTTTTCCAAAAAAAGGGGGGCCCTTTGGGGATTTCCCCCAAGGGGGGAAATTTTAAGGGTTTTAAAAAAAAAAATTTTTGGGGCCCTTTTAAAAAAAAAAAATTTTTTTTTTTTAAAAACCCCCGGGGGGGGTTTTTTTTTTCCCCCCCGGGAAAATTTTTTCCCCAAAAAAAAATTGGGGTTTTTTTTTTTAAAAAAAAAAAAAATTTTTAAATTTTACCCCCCCCAAAAGGGGGGGGGGTTTTTCCCTCCCAAAAAAGGGGGGGTTTTTTAAAAAAAATTTTTAAAAAAAAAAAAAAAATTTTTTTTTTTTGGGGCCCCCTTTTTGGAACAGGGGAATTTCCCTTTTCCCTTTTTTTCCCCGCTATTTTTTGGGGACCTCAAACCCAAAATTTAAAAAACAAAACCGTTTTCCCATTTTTGGTTTTCTGTTAACCTTGACAGCTATGAGAGATTTCTGTGTTTTGGGTTTACCTTTACGTGAGGGGAGATTTTTCTGGGGTTAGTTAAACCCTTGGGCAGTATTTAAGTGGGGGTGTTAAATTAAACCTTTAAAAAATGATTTTGGTGGTCTGCGTTTTTTACCTTGACAGTGAAATGGAGGGGGGTCTTTGTTAGTTACCTTGACCCGTGATTTGGGGATTTTTGGGCATGTTGGGTTTTCCTTTTAAAAATTTAGTGAGAGATGGGGGCTATGGGGTTCCTTGACAGTGAGTGGGGAGGGGTCTGTGTTTAAATTCCCCTTTAACCCGTGATGAGAGGTGGTTTTGGGATATTTTAAACCCTTACAGGATGAAGGTGGTCCGGGGTTTTGTTAACCCCTTTAATGAGTGAGAGAATTGGGCTAAAGTTTGGGTTACCCTTTACAGTGATTGAGAGTGGTCTAGTTTTTGGGTTTTCCTTTAAAAGGGGTAAGGTGGTCTGTGTTTTTTCCTTGACAATTTTAGTGAGAGGTGGTCGTGTTTTGTTTTCCCTTGACTTTAGTGAAGGTGGGTTTTGTTTAGTTTCCTTGACTTTGGGGGGGGAGGTGGTCTGTTTGGGTTACCTTGACAAATGATGAGAGGTGGGGCTCTGAGGAAGGTCTCGTCGTCCTGATCTTTCTCCCTCTCTGCCTTTCCCGTTTTTCCCCTCTCGCAGGAAACCCGCCTGCCTTTCTTTAAACTTTGGGCCATCTCTCAATGGCTCCGACCTACGGAAAACCAGCTTCTCCCTGTTTTCCCTTGGCCCCCACTTTCACAATACACACAACCAAAACAGGGGCAAAGGGGGCAATTTTTTCATTCAATTAAATGCAAAATTTTTTCCCCCTATTTTCCCCAGAGGTAATGGTTAGTTTACAACTAATATTCTTCTCAACAACATAAACAACATCAATGGCTGGAGAGACAAGGGGGTAGGCCATAGAAGAGGGGGGTCAATCCCATAGAAAAGAAAGGGGCCCCTAAAGGCCCCAAAAAGAGGAAGGGCAGAGGCCCCCAGAAGAGGAAGGTCTAGGGGCCCCCGAAAGGAAGGTCAAAATTTCCCATAGAAAGGAAGGGCCTAGGCCCCCTAGAAAGGAAAGGGCATTGCCCCTAGAAAGGGAAGGTCCCTAGGCCCATAGAAGAGGAAAGGGCATAAAGCCCATAGAAGAAGGGAAAGGGCTAGGCCCATAGAAGAGGAAGGGCCTAGGGCCCCTAAAAGGAAGGTCATAGGCCCCCTAGAAGAAAAGGTCATATGCCCAAAGAAAGGAAGGCATAGGCCCCCTAGAAAGGGGTGGTTTTAATTTGTGGGGTGGCGTTTCCCTGAGGTTGAGGGCTTTATACGTCCGATGGCAAAAGTGTGCTGTGTGTTTTGGGGGTGGGGTGTGGTTGTGTGGGGTGTGTGGGGTGGGCTTTTTACCTGAGGTTGAGGGGGCCTTCTGCGTTTTTATGGCCAAATGATGCTCGTCCACCTCAGTAGCCCGCCCGGGGTTTTTTCTTTCCTCCGCTTTCCCCCAGGTCAAAAGAAAACTTCCCTTTCTCCTCTGAGCTCCCTCCCCAAAAGCTCACAAAAACCATGGAAATAAAACAAACCCCCTGTGTAACCATAAACCCAGTGTTACTTATCATTGATCCTGAGGAAATCTTTCTATCTAGCTCCCCCCTCTCCACGCTCACCGGGAATTTAAAACAAAATTTTTAAAATAACGAAATACTATTTTTTTTACTGCACCTTTTAAAACGGCTGTAAAACAACTCTACGAAAAGGGAAAAAGGTGTTAGGGTACAAAAAAACCTAACTCCCTTTGGGCCCTTTCCTTTAAGTAACACTTGCACTAGTCTTTTTCTACACCTGACTGCTGAGAAAATTGGTTGTCCCCCTAAACTATCTGAAATGAATTTAAACCAAATGTAAGGGCCTCTGGATAAACACTGCTAAATTTTCTAAAATGCCCGTTAATTTTGTGAGAGGGTATATGCATTCCCCTAAGACCCGCACACCATGTTGGGTTTTTAAATCATACTTACAGTGGGACTGGGTCTCAAACCTTAATGCTGGGGCCCGGAGGTTCTGATCTATCCTTAATGCTGGCCAGTGGGATGATCTCAGCCTTAATTGGGTGGCCAGTAGGGGACGGGGCTCCCTTAAAGCTGGCCAGTAAAGGGAAACTGATCCTCCTTAAAGGGTGGGCCCTGGGTTTTTTAAACTCCGCCCTTAAAGCTGGCCAGTGGGTTTTTTTTTCTCAGCCTTAAAGCTGGGGCCAAGGGTTTTTTCCCCCTCATACTCCCGTAGGAATCCCGACTCACCTTAAAAGCTTTTGGCCCAGTTTGGAACCCGATTTTCAGCCTTTAAAGCGGCGAGTAGGAACTGATCTCAGCCTTAATGCTTGGGGGGCCCCCAGGTAAATGATCTCAGCCTTAATGCTGGGGAGAGGAAACCTATCTCAGCCTTAATGCTGGCGGTTTTGGAAACTATTCTCACCTTAAAGCCCGGGCCCGTAGGGACTGATCTCAAACCTTTAAGCTGGCAGTAGGAATCTGATTTTCGCCTTAAAGCTGGCTTTTGGGAAACTGTCTCACCTTAATGCTGGCCAGTAGGGACTGATCTCACCTTAAAGCTGGCCAGTGGGTTTTCCTTTTTCTTTTCCCCCTAACTTTACTTTGGAATCTGATCTCACCTTAATGTGGGCCCGTAGGGCCCGATCCCCAACCTTAAAGGTGGGCCCGTAGGTTTCTGATCTCAGCCTTTAAAGCTTTTCCGTATTTCTGATCTCAACCTTTAAAACTGGCCCGTTGGTTTTTTTCTCCCATACCACATTTGGTACGAAACTCAGCCTTAAAAGCTGGCCAGTAGGGGACTGATCTCCAAACCTTAATGAAAGGCCAGTAGGTCCCGGCTCAAACCTTAAAGGGGCCATAGGTTTCTGATTTAGCCTTAATGCTTTGGGCCAATTTGGGCTGATCTCCGCCCCTTTAAACTGGCCTTTTGTACTGATCTCCCGCCCCTTAAACTGGGCCCGTAGTACTATCTCACCCAAAACTTGGGTAGTAAGGGTTCTGATCTAAACCTTAAAAATGGGCCCGTAGGGGTCTGATCTCACCTTAAAGCCTTTGGGCCCGTAGGTTTCTGATCCCCAGCCTTAAACTGGCCATAGGTACTATCTCAGCCCTTTAAAAACTGGCCAGTAGGTACTGTCTAACCTTAAAGCGGCCCGTTTTAAACTGATCTCAGCCTTAAACTGGCCAGTAGGGCTGATCTTTAGCCCTTTAAAAATGGGCCCTTTGGATCTATCCTTCAGCCTTAAAAAGGGGCCCGTGGTACTACTAACCAGGCCCCTTTAAGGGTGGCCAGTAGGAAATGATCTCAGCCTTTAAACTTGGGCCCGTGGGACGATCTCAGCCTAAAACTGGCCCCGTAGGGACGGCCCCAGCCTTTAAAGCTGGGAAGGGGGTACGATCTCCCGCCTTAATGCTGGCCCCTTTAGGTACTGAAATCACCCTTAAAGCTTTGGCCCCGTGGTAATGATCTCAGCCTTAAAACCGGGGCCCGTGGAGTCTTACTCAGCCTTAAAGCGGGGCCCTTTTGGGTCTGAAACTCCCGGGCCCTTTAAAGCTGGCCAGTAGGTATTGAAACTTCAGCCCCTTTAAACTGGCCAGTTTTGGTACTGATCTCAGCCTTAAAGCCCGGGAAGGAGGGACTGATCTCAAAAATTAAAGCTGGCCATTTGGTTAAAGATCTCAACCTTAAAAATGGCCATAGGAGTCCTGGTCTCAGCCTTTAAAACTTGGCCCCGTAGGGTTTATCTCCGCCTTAAAGCCCGGCCAGTAGGGACTGATTCACCTTTAATTTCTGGCAAGGGGGTTTCTGATCTCAGTTAAATGCTGGCCCAAAGGGGGACTGACTCAGCCCCTTTAAAGCTGGGAAAGGGGGACTGATCTCAACCTTAATGCTGGAAAGGGGGTTTCTGATCTCAACCTTAAAGCTGGGGCCCGTAGGTACTGATCTCACCTTTTTAAAACTGGCCATTTTGAGTCCCGATCTCACCTTAAACTGGCCAATTTGGATTCCCGATTCCCCTTTAGCCTTAAAAACTGGCCAGAGGTACTGATTTTCAGCCTTAACTGGGCCCTAGGTACTGATCTCCCCTTAAAGCTGGGCCCGTAGGAGTCCCGTCTCCCCTTAAAAACTGGGCCCTTTGGGGTCTGATCTCACCCTTAAAACTTTGGGCCCTAGGGAACTGAAACCAGCCTTTAAGCTTTGGGCCCTTGGTACTTTATCTCAGCCGTAATGCTGGCCAGTAGGTTTCTCCTCATACTCACAGTAGGTATCGGATCTCAGCCTTAAAGCTGGCCAGTGCAGCCCGGTGGATCCCGTTCTTGGTCATGAGGAGCTCGTTCTCCAGAGCCACAGTCAGCTCACCGAGGTTCACTTTGCCCTCCAGGTCAAAATCCAAGGCCTACAGCACAAACATAGACAGAGACACGTCAAAATCCAAGGCCTACAGCACAAACATAGACACGTCAAAATCCAAGGCCTACAGCACAAATATAGCCAGAGACACTTACACAGTGTCAACATTCTCAAGCCAACAAAATAAAAACACTGACTGAAGTGTCAAAAACATATGCCCCCCCCCACCCCACCCCCCTAGAATGAGAGGTAAGATGTTATCACCTGCAGTATCTCAGAGCTGTTCTCGATGCCCTCCTCCGTCCAGGCATCCAGGACGTCCTCAGCGGGGGTGGACCCTGTCCCATCGTCCAGAGTAGAGAACAGACGCATCCCGATGGTACTCGTCATAGCGCTTGTTCTACGGCCCGTCTCATCGAATGGCTGCAAGGAGAGATGGGGGACACCTCTTAAATATTACTAGATACTACAGCAAGATACTGTATGTGTACTTGTCACTGCATTGGTGTGTGGCAGTATCTATTTTAATTGTCTAATACATACATACATTCATTTGTTAGTTCATTCATTCAATAATTAATTCATTCATTTGTTAGTTCATTCATTCAATCCTTCATCCATCCATTTACTAATTCAAGAGTGACTCTTGAATTTAAAAAAAAAAATCAGGAGTTTGGAAAGAAACCACTAAAACGTGGTACAGATGTCTTGCTTTAACATGAGAACGAGACCTAAGATGGGGGTCTTACTGTACCTGTGAGGAGTGTAGTCTTTTGAGCTGTCTGTAAGGTGTGGAGGCAGAGGGGGTGGGGGGCTTGGCGTGGTTCAGAACCCAGGAAGCAAACGCCTGAACGCTCATTATCTCATTTACACTTAGAACCTGGAGGACATCCTCCGTCACCTGGAGACGACAACAATCAGAAACATTTCCCCAGCATCCTACTCAGACTCTCAAACCTCCACTTGGGTTACGTCCACCCTATTCCCTGTCTAATTCACTACAGGAAATAGGGAGCCATTTCTTCCACGGTCCTAATTAGCTCCCTACCCCTCTCCTGGGCCCTAAACCCTTCCATGTTCGCAGATCTAAAAGGATATGGATAGGCATCAGCAGTGTAGTGGTGGATCTGTAAGGTCTGGATAGGTATAAACAGTGTAGTGGTGGATCTGTAAGGTCTGGATAGGCATCAGCAGTGTAGTGGTGGATCCGTAAGGTCTGGATAGGTATAAACAGTGTAGTGGTGGAGCTTCCACCGTATTGCTTCCAACTTACAGATCAGCAAACATGGAAGGGTTTGGGGGCCAAGGGGATGGGGTAAGGAGGAAACTGGGACCAGCTGATCCCAGATGGTCACCGACTGAACTTCGGTTGAATCCAAAATGGCACCCTATTCCACACATCTACTGTAATGCACTATAAAGATTAGGGTAGCATTTCAGACGATCTCTTTCCTCACCTCCAGCCCCAGGTGGTCACAGAGAGCCAGTAGCTCATGGTGGCTGGCACATCCATCCCAGGGCATAGCCAGCTCCTCGCAGGCCTCCTGAAACCTCTCCTCCAGGCGGTCTGAGAGGGGTGTGATAGAGCCCCGCGGGGTAGAGGGCTCATCAGGGTTCCACAGGTGCAGCTGGCCTACACACACACGCACGCACACACAATGATAAGACTTGATTTAAGACCCTGGCTCCCTGAGCATAGGCGTTGAATGTCCTCCATCTCACTCCTATGATCAGGGTCAGTTCAAATTGATTGTTTTATATTTTCCCCTTTTTCTCCCCAATTGAGTGATTTCCAAATGGTAGTTCCAGTCTTGCCCCATCGCTGCAACTCCCCTATGGACTAGGGAGAGGCGAAGGTCGAGAGCCATGCGTCCTCCGAAACACGACCCTGCTTCTTGACACACTGCTCGCTTAACCCGGAAGCCAGCCGCACCAATGTGTCGGAGGAAACACCATCCAGCTTGTGACCAAAGTCAGCTTGCAGGCGCCCGCCTCGCCACAAGGATTTGCTGAAACGCGATGGGACAAGGAAATCCCAGCCGGCCAAACCCTCCCCTAACCCGGACGACGCTGGGCCAAATGTGTCTCCCGGTCACGGCCAGCTGTGACACAGCCTGGGATCGAACCCGGGTCTGTAGTGACGCCTCAAGCACTGCAATGCAATGCCTTAGACCACTGCACCACTTGGGAGGCCTGGGGTCAGTTCTACTTGATAATGGAGTTTCAATTTACTTTCTAAATTCCCAAATGGAATTGACCCCAAAGCTGACTATGATGAATGGCTATCTAGTGGAAATGTTGGATACAGCAGGTGTAAACAGTAGAGTGAAATGCTTACTTGCATGCTTTTCCTTAAATGTAGTAACTTTACAATAAATGCAGTAACTTTACAATAAATGCAGTAACTTTACAATGAATGCAGTAACTTTACAATAAATGCAGTAACTTTACAATAAATGCAGTAACTTTACACCCACCTTCTGCCTCGTACTCTTCCGTTCCCCTTTCAAGAGCGTTCCAGCGCTGCGCAAGGAGGAAACAGATAACAACAACGTTAGTTTAAGTGAGTAAACCATCACTTCAAAAAACACAGAGACAAGACAACCCACTTCCTCGTGTGCTAGTGAGCAGTCTCCAAAACGTCGTTGTTGCATCAACCGAGGTTGAGACTAGGTTGGGTTGGGTGGGGACAGCAGCAGGCAGGGTTTGTGTGTCCGACCAAACAGGACAACAGAGCTAATGTGACGGCACAGGCCCCTCTGAAGGTCAAAGGTGAAGCTAGAGATGGTAAACCAGAACAGAGAATTAAAAGAGAGAGAGACCGATCCAAAGCGGACTAAAACCCTCACATTCCTCTTACTATGTTTCTATCTCTCTCTCACCCTCTTTTTCACTCTTTTTCTTTTTTGCATTTTAAGGACAATTCTCAAAGTGAGCCTATATTGGCAAAAAAAGTTAGATTTTGACTTGAACAATCTACATCATAGACATATGTATGCTGCATCACAAAATATATAAGGTCACTTTTTACAAACTAAAAGAGTGAAATTGGTTGTAATAATAAATATGGTAAATAGCAGAATAATAATTCCACAGTTCCCATATGTCTGAAGAGTGATTTCAGGAAGGTGGTTAGAGATCTATTGTGTTGTGGCAGTGTTCAGGCGTCTAAAGCCATCTATTGTCTGGGAAGGAAACACAGTGAAGGAATGAAGAACAGATGGGTCTCTCCTACTCTTTATTCCATCTCTAGGCATCTGTGAGGGAGGGGTGAAGGGCTTAGCCCATTGTTCCACTGTCAGACACCAAAAAAAGCCCTTCCCAAATCAGGAAGAGCCCCCTGACCCTTCCTCACCAGGCTGGAGGCTGGACATTGTTCAACGCAACCCACGGCAGCATCCCAAATGGCACCCTATTCCCTATATAGTGCACTACTTTAGACCAGAGAATGGCACCCTATTCCCTATATAGTGCACTACTTTAGACCAGGGCTCTGGTCAAAAGTAGTGCACTGTATAGGATCAAAATTAGTGCACTATATAGGGAATTGGGTGCCATTACATTTACATTGGAGTAATTTAGCGGACGCTCCTACGCAGAGCAACTTACAAGAGCAATTATGGTTAAGTGTCTTGCTCAAGGGCACAGACAGATTTTTCACCCAAGTCGACTCAGGATTCGAACCTTTCGGTTACTGTCCCAACGCTCTTAACCGCTAAGCTACCTGGGAAACAATCCAAGATGCCTGCCGCCCTGTAGGGAAACAATCCAAGATTAGTCGCTTCGTCCTTGTCAGTGTCTCACCCTGTTTGTCCTTGTCAGTGTCTCACCCTGTTTGTCCTTGTCAGTGTCTCACCCTGTTTGTCCTTGTCAGTGTCTCACCCTGTTTGTCCTTGTCAGTGTCTCACCCTGTTTGTCCTTGTCAGTGTCTCACCCTGTTTGTCCTTGTCAGTGTCTCACAATGTTTGTCCTTGCCAGTGTCAACCAACCTCCATCTACAGAGAGCAGTATCATTATACCAACCTCCATCTACAGAGAGAGCAGCCTTGGTATGCAGTCTGTATACCATCATAAATATTTGGGGCATTTGTTATAGAGTGAAAATGTGAAAGTCACACTAATGCAGTAAAGGCCTACACAACAGACCAGAGATACACCACATGACCAAAAGTATGTGGACCCCTGCTCGTCGAACATCTCATTCCAAAATCATGGGCATTAATATGGAGTTGGTCCCCCGTTTGCTGCTATAACAGCCTCCACTCTTCTGGGAAGGCTTTCCACTAGATGTTGGAACATTGCTGCGGGGACTTGCTTCCATTCAGCCACAAGAGCATTAGTGAGGTCGGGAACTAATGTTGGGCGATTAGGCCTGGCTCGCAGTCGGCGTTCCAATTCATCCTAAAGGTGTTTGATGGGGTTGAGGTCAGGGCTCTGTGCAGGCCAGTCAAGTTCTTCCACACCAATCTCGACAAACCATTTCTGTATGGACCTCGCTTTGTGCACGGGGGCATTGTCATGCTGAAACAGGAAAGGGCCTTCCCCAAACTCTTACCACAAAGTTGGAAGCACAGAATCGTCTAGAATGTCATTCTATGCTGTAGTGTTAAGATTTCCCTTCACTGGAACTAAGGGGCCTAGCCGAACCATAATAATAATAATAATAATAATAATAATAATAATAATATGCCATTTAGCAGACGCTTTTATCCAAAGCGACTTACAGTCATGAGTGCATACATTTTTACGTATGGGTGGTCCCGGGGATCGAACCCACTACCCTGGTGTTACAAGCGCCATGCTCTACCAATTGAGCTACAGAGGACCAAAACCATGGAAAAAAGCCCCAGACCATTATTCCTCGTCAACCAAACTTTACAGTTGGCACTATGCATTGGGGCAGGTAGCGTTCTCCTGCCATCCGCCAAACCCAGATTTGTCTGTCGGACTGCCAGATGGTGAAGCGTGATTCATCACTCCAGAGAACGCATTTCAACTGCTCCAGAGTCCAATGGTGGCGAGCTTTACACCACTCCAGCCTACACTTGGCATTGCGCATGGTGATCTTAGGTTTGTGTGAGGCTGCTTGGCCATGGAAACCCCTTTCACAAAGCTCTCGACTAACAGTTATTGTGCTGACGTTGCTTCCAGAGGCAGTTTGGAACTCGGTAGTGAGTATTGTCCCGTTCTGTGAGCTTGTGTGGCCTAGACGTCTCCACTTCACAATAACAGCACTTACAGTTGACCAGGGCAGCTCTAGCAGGGTCTCTCCTCTCCTCCTTCCCCATTACTCTCTCTCCCTCTCCCTCTCGGTCTCTCCTCCTTCCCCATGACTCTCTCTCCCTCTCCCTCTCGGTCTCTCCTCCTTCCCCATGACTCTCTCTCCCTCTCCCTCTCGGTCTCTCCTCCTTCCCCATGACTCTCTCCCCCTCTCCCTCTCTCCTCTCATGACTCTCTCTCCCCCTCTCTCCTCTCCAATGACTCTCTCTCCCATCTCTTTCTCTCTCCTCTCCCATGACTCTCTCTCTCTCTCTCCCTCTACCCTCCTCCATGACTCTCTCTCGCTATTTCTGCTCAAGTACAGTAACGGCTTACCAACACCACAACAACCTTGTATAATTGAACCTGGGTTGACTGTGCATTGATCATCTAAGTTCACTGGCATACGTTAGCATTGCTGTTATTAATATATAGGCAACTAGTAGACAGACATAGTTGAGAATAGCCAGAGTTGAGCCTTGTGAAGGCTCTGTGTTAGAGGTGTGTGTGTGTGTGTGTGTGTCCACATTTCATTTAAAGATCTGGCTTGCATAGCACTAAGCTGATTATCTAAGAATAACACCAACACGCTCCTATCAGCCTTCAACCTTCCTCCAGACTGCTGGGAAACACACAACATGCAAGGACAGAGAGAGACGAGGACAGAGAGAGACGGGGACAGAGAGAGAGAGAGGAGGACAGAGAGAGAGAGAGACGAGGACAGAGAGAGAGAGAGACGAGGACAGAGAGAGAGAGAGACGAGGACAGAGAGAGACGATGACAGAGAGAGAGAGACCAGGACAGAGAGAGAGAGACCAGGACAGAGAGAGAGAATGACAGCAGGTAGCCTTGTGATACAGGCAGTTCCTGGTACAGCGTCTGAGGGTGTCTGATGTACCTATAGTCCATAGTCAAAACGCTTGACATGTAGAAAGCAGAGAGGAGATCATGGAATATGCAGAACAATGTTACATCAACTGTATTTTAGTTGATAGGTTACATGTCTTTATCATTGTGTGTTTGCAGTAAAAGGACAACCGAAGCCCAACAACGATCTGACTGGTAGAGTTGAAACTGAGGTGACGAATATGAGTATATTCATCCATTCTCAGCAGGCAGGTGTTTACCTCACGTTTCCTGGGCACAGAAGAGTCTTCGTGATCTTCTGGGTCCTGCCCTGTAGCGTCTGAGAAGTCTGCGATGGTCTCTGTGAACTCCGGTGTAGAGTGTCGGCCATAGCGTTTACTACCCCGTACAAACTTAGCTTGGACTGGTGAGTCTGTGGAGAAGGAGAAGGGGATGAGAATTACATTAAAATCCACGTCTAAACCTTAGCCATTGTCTCTGGTCACTACTGCTCCAAAAAGGTTCATCATTTAATAAAGCTACATTTTTCCTTTTAGGATGAACGAAAAACCTTGATCGGACACAGGTAGTCAATGTTTTCACTTCCATTCAGACACAGACTGTGACTCAGAACACATTAGCTCAACTGACAGGGATTTGAAGTGCAGTCATATTTAAGGTGGAGTGATTTCCTGGTCCTAAAAGTTAAACACTGACTCACCGCTGTCTAACTCTCTGGCACCGATTTAGTAATCCTTCTTAAGTAAGTCTTACCTGCCTCCTCTCTCTCTACCCTCTCTTTTGGTAACGTAACGCCAAGATAAGTGCAAGGTAACTACAAAGCCCAAGTTCATTCACAGCCTCACCCGTCTCTTCCCCTCTACTCCTCCCTGGAGTCACCCTACTCCCCTCTACTCCTCCCTGGAGTCACCCTCCTCCCCCCTGGAGTCACCCTCCTCCCCCCTGGAGTCACCCTCCTCCTCCCTGGAGTCACCCTACTCCCCTCTCCTTTACCCTGGAGTCACCCACCTCGCCCCTCCTCCGCCCTGGAGTCACCCTCCTCTCCCATGGTCTCGGTCACACTGCCTGGCTAGATTTTCTGCCCTCACCTCCCTCCCCCATCCTCCCTCGCCTCTCCCCTTGAGTCAACCACCCCCTCCACTCTGTCACACTGCCTGGCCTCCCCCTCCCCCCTCCTCCCCCCTCTCCCCTCCTCTCTCCTCCCTGTCACACTGCCTGGCCTCCCCCTCCCCCCTCCTCCCCCCCTCCCACCTCCCTGGCAGGGCTGTAGTGGAGTTTCTCTGCCTTCACTGACACTCAGGTGGCTTAATACATCTGATCCGGTGAGAACCAGACTGTAAATACAGAACAGCCCGGAGTACAGCTTGCGTTACATCACAACCCAAACAGGGCACTTAAGGACTCTTCATTTAATACAATGCTTATTCAAGCGAGACAGAACAGATCCCTAAACTGTATGGTCATAGGAATCTAAAATACACATGAAAGATAATACATTGATTCCATGTTCCGTAGCAGCAATGACAGCTCAAACAGCAGTTTCAGTCCGTTGGTCGTTTACGGCCCATGATGTATTTGGCTTTGTCCAAGTATGTTGGGTTTAATACAGACGCGGCATACAGCTCTATATTTGACATGGTTAGTATTGTACAGTGTTGTAGTACTCGGAGTCCGGGACTCGGACTTGAGTCACGATTTTCATGACTCATGACTTGACTTACTCAACCAGTGGTGATTCGGACTTGGACTCGACCACTTGTGACTTTATTGTCAGAAAATCTCTCGGTTGCATACTTCAACATGCTAGCTGAAGCAGCAGATGTTAGAGAACTGGATGATCTATTTAGCTTTACAACACTGTCATGAAATCTAGCTTTAAAAAAATGGTTAAACAACAACTTTTGGCACTGCGAAGAGACTCGTAACTCGAATATAAAAGGACTTCTTCAATGCATTGCTATTCATTCCAGAAATACAACTGCATCCATAGCCTAATTGGATTGGTATCGTCACTCCTCAGCTTGAAATGCCTCGTTTCTGAATCGTTCAGTGGGTTCTCTCTCTAACATATCATTAACTTTATATCCAAAAATGTAGGATTTCGTAACCTAATACATCCAATAATAAGCACCGAGCTCTGTTGACATAGCGGTGCAGGTTTCTCTTTAAAAGCTAAGGCATTGTCAAGAGGGAGGTCACACGTGCTTGGGAGACAGAGGACGCGAGATCAAGGACCAGTGAGGGTTTGCTATACCGTTGAACAAGAACAGCGACGTCTGTCACGAATCCTTCCTTACCTGGTGGTAGCAGAGTGGATGTTGTCTCCTGACTGTGTGCAGGTGTTGCTGCTACGTTGGTCGATAACACCAGAATCAGGGCATTCTTGAACTGGTCAAAATCAACCTGCAACACAAAATACAACATTTTTCATTGAGACATACAGTACACCAGTCAAACGTTTGGACACACCTACTCATTCAAGGGTTTTTCTTTATTTTTACTATTTTCTACATTGTAGAATAATAGTGAAGACATCAAAACTATGAAATAACACATATGGAATCATGTAGTAACCCAAAAAGTGTTAAACAAATCTAAATGTATTTTATATTTGAGATTCTTCAAAGTAGCCACCCTTTGCCTTGATGACAGCTTTGGTGGTGTAAGTATTTCTGAATGTTCTCTCGTAATAAAGACGCAAGGTGTTCAACAAGTAGGAAAGCCAAAACATCACTCAGATAATAAAATAAATAAAAAAATCGGTCATGACATTCCTAACAGTGAATTGCATTGAATCCTGTGAATGCAGGGTGGAGGAGGGGGGTGGCCCTGGATGACAGGGAAGGAGGACACACACAAACACTTCTGAAGCAGCAGCAGCTGGCCCTTGTCCAACAGTTATGGAGATTCTCTTTGTGTTCTGTTGCCAGGCGGATGACCGCTGGCTTAGGTGGGGGTTTCCTTTCTTGCTTTATTGTTGGTGGTGGGGGGGGGGGGGTACCCTGGTCCTTTATTGTTGAGTGGTACCCTGGTCCTTTATTGTTGAGGGGTAGCCTGGTCCTTTATTGTTGAGGGGTAGCCTGGTCCTTTATTGTTGAGGGGTAGCCTGGTCCTTTATTGTTGAGGGGGGTACCCTGGTCCTTTATTGTTGAGGGGTACCCTGGTCCTTTATTGTTGAGGGGGGGGGGGGGGGGGGGGGTACCCTGGTCCTTTATTGTTGAGGGGGGGGGTACCCTGGTCCTTTATTGTTGAGTGGTACCCTGGTCCTTTATTGTTGAGGGGGGTACCCTGGTCCTTTATTGTTGAGGGGGATAGCCTGGTCCTTTATTGTTGGGGGGGGGGGGGGGTACCCCTGGTCCTTTATTGTTGAGTGGTACCCTGGTCCTTTATTGTTGAGGGGGGGGGGTACCCTGGTCCTTTATTGTTGAGGGGGGGGGGGGTACCCTGGTCCTTTATTGTTGAGTGGTACCCTGGTCCTTTATTGTTGAGGGGGGTACCCTGGTCCTTTATTGTTGAGGGGGGTACCCTGGTCCTTTATTGTTGAGGGGGGGGGGGGTACCCTGGTCCTTTATTGTTGAGGGGGGGGGGGGGGGGGGGTACCCTGGTCCTTTATTGTTGAGGGGGGGGGTACCCTGGTCCTTTATTGTTGAGTGGTACCCTGGTCCTTTATTGTTTGATGGGGGTACCCTGGTCCTTTATTGTTGAGGGGGGGGGGGGGGGGGGGTACCCTGGTCCTTTATTGTTGAGTGGTACCCTGGTCCTTTATTGTTGAGTGGTACCCTGGTCCTTTATTGTTGAGGGGGGGGGGGGGTACCCTGGTCCTTTATTGTTGAGGGGGATAGCCTGGTCCTTTATTGTTGGGGGGGGGTACCCTGGTCCTTTATTGTTGAGGGGGGTACCCTGGTCCTTTATTGTTGAGTGGTACCCTGGTCCTTTATTGTTGGGGGGGGGGGGGGGGTACCCTGGTCCTTTATTGTTGAGGGGGGGGGGGGGTACCCTGGTCCTTTATTGTTGAGTGGTACCCTGGTCCTTTATTGTTGAGGGGGGTACCCTGGTCCTTTATTGTTGAGGGGGGGGGTACCCTGGTTCTTTATTGTTGAGTGGTACCCTGGTCCTTTATTGTTGAGGGGGATGGCCTAGTCCTTTATTGTTGGGGGGGGGGGTACCCTGGTCCTTTATTGTTGAGGGGGGTACCCTGGTCCTTTATTGTTGAGTGGTACCCTGGGCCTTTATGTTGAGGGGGGGGGGGGGTAACCCTGGTCCTTTATTGTTGAGTGGTACCCTGGTCCTT